AGGTCACCTGGGACATCCCGGCGCTTCCCGGGGCCTCCCCAGGGCCTCGTGGATCCTCCAGGGGCCCCTTGAGGCCTCCTGGGGCTTCCGAGGATTCCCTGGAGCTCCCTGACACCTCCTAAGGCTTCCTGAAGCCTCATGGGACCTCCTAGGGCCGCCTGGGGTTCGCTGGGGCTTCCTGCAACCTTCTGGGGCCTCCTGAGGCCTCCTGGGGCCTCCTGAGGCGTCCTGGTGCCTCATGGGGCATCCTCGGCTCGTGCTAAAATATCAGCGCAGCCTTTGAGACGCGCCAGGAACTTCCCATCGGTAACCGCCATCGCGGCTGCATCAGCTGTGCCAAACCACCTTGCCGATCTGATTTCGACCCCCAGTTGCGTCAGCACTGCTTCTTATGTTGTGGCAGCGCGGGTGGGATGGGGCATGCCATGCTTGACTCGCTCGAGCTGGCTTACTTGACTCCTACTCCTACTCCTATCCCTCCTCCTCCTCCTCCTCCTCCTCCTGCCCTCCTGGGGCAAGTCCGTCGGACCGACGATTCGCGCCCCGATCCACTCCGTTATTCCTCCTCCTCCTCCTCCTCCTTTTTCCTTCTCCATCTTCCTTCTTCTCCTTCTCCTCCTCCTCCTCCTCCTCCGACTCCCCCTCCTCCCCCTCCTCTGATGGGGGCGAGGGGGACAGGAGGGAGAAGGCGTCCCAAGCAAGAGCGCTGGGCGGCACTAGAGCCCTCGACAGAGACAGCCTGCAGCGGCCACCGGACGCGAAAACCGCCATAGCCGAGGATCCGTAGACGAAGAAACTTCTGCAGAAAACCAAACTTTCGGAGGTGCACGCAGATCACCTGGATCCGCGCTGGGCCCCGGCGGTGCATCGTGGCGCCGCCGCTGGAGCGCCCCAGGGCCGATTCGATGAAGTACTCTTTTGTGGGGCAGGGCGCCACCGACGGGCGAGCGCGGCGACGCTCAGGCGGGCGTCACGGGGCGGTTGCCTTGCGCCCTCGCAAGCGCCCTCGAGAGGGCGAGGATCCACACGACCACGAGCGCCACAATGAAGCACGCCGTGCCCCGGAGGCACCACTGGAACCAGCGGTCGTCCGCTTCCTGCTCCTCGGGAAGGGGAGGAAAGGGGGAGGGAAAGGGAAGGGTGAGGTATAAAGAAAAAGAAAGAGGGAGAGAGAGAGAGAGAACAACAACAAAGAAAGGGAGAGATCAGGATAAAAACTCAAAAACATATAAAAGAGAGGTGGAGGAAGGGGGAGGTAGGAAACGAGAGACAGAGACGGAGAGACAGAGAGATAGAGACAGAGACTAACAGGCAGACATGTGGAACACAACAGAAGACGAGGAAGCGGCAGAGAGACAGAGAGAGAGAGGCAGACAGACGAACAAGCTGCACTCGGGAACACAACAAAGGAGAAACTGAGACAGAGAGTCAAAAAGGACGCGAACGCAGGGGAAGACAACACACATTATATACATGAATTTTCGGAGATCCGCGCGGACTGCTTGGATCGGCGCTGGACTCGCCTCCCTGGCGCGCGAACGCGCCACGGGCGGCGCCGAATACGCCGCTTGGGGGGCCCTGCGCGAATCCAAGAAATCCGCGCAAGCCGCCGACAGTTACGCTCATGCCGTTTTCTTCCTCGAGAAACAGGAAGAAGGACGGAGAGAGAGGGGCAGAGCAGGGCGCGAGTAAAACGTCGTACTTGGATTGAACACCGCTGGCAATTCAAATCATAAAAAAGAAACGGCGCCATCCCTCTAGGAAACAACTTCGCTTCAAACCGTCGGCTGCGAGAACGCTGACCAAACGGCCGCGCGCTGGCGCCCGAACACAAAAACACGGAAACGGAAACGGCATGCGAGATAGCACGACAACATGTTGCTCGCGCCCTGGGACAGAACAGAGGCTCCTGCGGGGACAGCAAGCGACTACAACCACATCGCACCAGGGCGGATGTCTTGCGCATGCCAGAATTCGTCGGAGCACCGAAACCAGCTCCGTACTGGCTCTCATCGACATGGCGTCCCAGGACTGCCACATCGACCTCAGCCACAACCAAAATGCTCATGTCGAGGTCGGTGGGTCCCGGGTTCTCTCCCAAGGGACCATCCCGAAAGATCAACTTTGTCGTGGTTGTCGTTCTATGTAAGGACACTAGTAGGGACACTTTTCCCGACTCAAGCCGCCGAGGCTCGAAACTAGTAGGGACACTTTTCCCATGAACTAGAATCAGGCAGTATTGCAAACATCGCGCATCCACAGCTTGAGAATTCTTTGGTTTCATCGAATTCCTCCGGCGACCTCTCCACGAAGAACTGCGGGTACGCGAGGCGGCCCAGCTCGCGGGCGGAGCCCGGGTCCAGGCCCAGCCTGCACGACAGCACGCGGCGCCCCCGGCCTGGGGCGTGGCCCACGTCCGCGCACCCCAGCAACTGCACGGAGGGCTCCGCGCGCCGGCTGCGCAGCCGCTCCCGGAAGGCGTGCCACTCCTCCTCCCTCGCTGAAAGGAGAGAGAACTTCGGTGTCTGCTCCATGAGATAAGACGGAGCCAGGATGACGATCACATCGGGTGAGCATAAATCGAGGATCTCTGGGATCCCGCGGTTCTGGATCGGGTGTTGCTAGAAGTGCCCCTGGGCCAAGGTGCCCCCAGGATTTCAAAATAGACCAAAAAGCCTCCAAAGCACCCCTCACGAAGCCCAGAGGGCCCCAGGGGCTCCAAAATGGAGCGAAAAGCTGGGGGCACCTTGGCCCAGGGGTACTTCTAGCAACACCCGATCCAGTGGAGGATGTCTCGGGCGCCGCGGACTTCTCAGAGCGTTCCAGAACGCTCCGAGAGCGATCCGGAACGCTCTGGAACGGAAGTATCCTCGTCCTGGCCCGTCCGATGGGAGCCTACGTGGCCCCCGGCGCTGTCCGATCTGGGTCGGCTTTGAACTGGATTTGGAACACAGTTGGGAGCGGAGTTGCATCGGAGCCACCCCATGTCAGGGGAGACGAGAAGAACGAGGAGGGGGGGAGGAAAAGGAGGGGCGAAAAGAAATAGGAGGAAGGGCCACCTGCGATCCAAAGGCGATCCAAATGCGGTCCAAACGCCGGAGAAGCAGATGTCAATGTCGCCACCGAAGGCTCCCATGAACAGACATCGAAGAAACGGCGTGAACACAAGTTCTCAGCTCTGGAGCCACCTCCGCTCGGCACGGTCGAAATAAGTACGCAGCACCCCGCAGATGCGGATAAGAGTGAGGCGGAGGCGGGGACGTCTGCGGTCTGCGAGGCTCTGAAAAAGCCCGCCGCAGGCTCCGAATGTTTACAAATTGTGCAACGGGCCAGCCGCAGGCGCCGATACTTCGTTAAAACAATGTGGCACGGGGTGGGTAGCGGCTGGGTCGCGGGTGGGTCGCGGATGGGTCGCGGGCCGGGTCGCAAGTGGGTCGCGGGTTGGTCGCGGGCGGGTCGCGGGCGAATCGCAAGGGGGGATCGCGGCTGGGTCGCGGGTGGGTCGCGGTGTGGGTCGTGGGTGGGTCGCGGGCCGGCCGGGTCGCGGGGGGGACGACGCCAAACAAAGAACATCATCAACAACAATAACAACAACAACGACGACGACGACAACAACACCAACAACAACAACAACGGCAACAGCAGCAGCAACAGCAGCAGCAACAACAACACCACCACCACTACCAACAACAACAGCGCGATTCTCCAATACATTGCGATGAAGTATCAGGCGGGAGACGTTGTTGAACATTATTACTTCTAAAGAATAATTATTGTTGGGGCCCCTGGTGCGCGGCCCCCTCGCCGCGCCTAGGCCGCAGCCATGTTTTCATCACTTTCGTGAGGAAGTCTCAGGCAAAACGGGTTGGTCCGGATCCGGTTGTTTTGTTACGGGCGGTTTTCCCTTGCAGAAAATAAGCTAAAGTGGACATTTCTTGTTCTAAGATAACCAAACTTCAAGAATCCCTTGCAAAAAAAAAAAAGGTAAAGTGGACATTCGCGCGCGCAAGACGAAATCTTTCCAAAACCTTAGTTTTCGTGGCGATTTTAACATGAAAACATCAAAAAACCAATGGCTTTTCAAAAAAAAGTGTCAAAATTTCATCCCGCGCGCTCTTGCGGATTCGTAGGAAACCCAACACTTTTTAAACATTTCTGTCAGGCGGGCTTTTGCGAGCAACTTTTTCGAACTTCTGCAACAACGGTCGCGCACCTGCCAAGGCCATCATCCCTGTCAAATAATACCATGCGGGACACATTCGTTTTTTCTTCGCGCGCGCACGCCGTCGTCGTCGGCCGCGGGGCCCTGAATAGTAGCCACGGTCGTCCGCATGCCACGAAGTGAAGTGTCCGAACGTCATAGGGCGGGAAGCTGGGTGTGGGTGGTGGCGAAGAGTCGTTTGGAAATTTGGTAGAGCTTGAACCGGCCCCCCCACAAAGTGGGGGCATTGCCCGCCTCCTATGAAAACCCTGGCACTGGTGAGAACGGAGTGTCCCCACGTGCTAGTAATTGTTGTTGTTGTTGTTGTTGTAGTTCGGGCGCTCAAAACGCAGTTTGAGGCGAACATCTTTCTCTGATAAAAAAAACTGGGTGCGACCCCAGGAGAGGCACTTCAACTAAACAACACATGTTACCGGAGGGGGGATCAACAATAATCATTCATCAGGAATGGGAATTCAACAGCAACAACAATCAGTTTAAGACTGTTCGCTCTTACTGGCACGCGTGTCTTGCATTCTATATACCCCAACCCTCGATACTCGCCCACTTCGTCTTCGAATGCACCCCTTTTCGGGGGGAATCTCTTCCTTGTCGGCCACTGGCTGAATTGCGAGAAACTCTCGAGCGAGAGCGCCGTTTCTGAATTCGGGAGCCTCTCTGGCCAGGGGCTCTCGAAGAACATATGGAGAAATATCAAACGGGAGCCATTGTCGCCGTGTCTGGGCCTCCACCAGCTTGCCTGAATTACGAGACAGTCTCGAGCGAAAGCACCATTCTTGAATTCGGGGGCCTCTCTGGCAAGGGCCTTTGCAGATACATCTTGAGAAAAAATATCGAGCGAGAGGTCTTGTCGTCGTGGTTGGACCTCCACCAATTTAACTGAATCGCGAGGAAGTCTCGAGCGAGAGCGCCGTTCCTGACTGAGTTCAGGGGCCTTCCTGTCCAGGGGCTCTCGGGGTAAATCGTGAGGAAGTATCGAGCAGGAGCCCTTGTCGTCGTGGCTGGGCCTCCGCCAACTTAACTGAATTGCGAGGAAGTCTCAAGCGAAAGCGCCGTTCCTGGGTTCAGGCGCCTCCCTGGCCAGGGTGTTCGGGGTAAATTGCGAGGAAGTATCGAGCGGGAGCCGGTGTCGTTGTAGCCATGCTTCCAAGGGCCAACATTTACACTCAAGCCAACGCTCACGCGGGAGCCTCGGTTTCAGAGAAAACGTAGCTGGCGTCGAGGCGAGAGCGCGAACAACCGTTTCCGGAGATCAACTCTAACTATTCTCCAGAAATGAACATTCGACAACGACAACAACGACTACGACAACAACGACAACAACGACAACAACGACAACAACAACACCACCACCACCCCATCCCCACCACCACCACCAACCCATCCCCACCACCACCACCACAACAAGAATACGCATCGCGGAATCCGACTTCAGCCACGCACTCAGGGACAGTGAATGACAGTTCGGCCCCCTCACTATGATACTGAAGAGGCCCAGGGGCGCACTTTTTTTTACCCATCGAAGAAGCCCAGCGGCAGAGAGCAGCAGTCGAGGAGGGGGGGGGGGCGGGGCGGCACGCGGCCCATGCGCAGGCCGCTAGCCCGGCGGCCCCGGGCGCTGCACCAGGCGCCCGCGCAGCGCCGCGCGCCAGTCGGCCTCGCGGCCGCCAGCCCGGGCCGTGGGCAGGAGCAGCAAGGCTGCCGCCCGCGGCGGCAGCGCGGCGGCCCAGCCCGCGCACGGCGTCGCCGCCAGTCGCGGTCACGCGGGCGCGGAGGCCCCGGAGCGCAGGCAGGCCACCCAGCCGGGGCCCTGCGCGGCGGCGTGCAGCTGCCAAGCCTGCCCCGCGAACAGAGCGGCGCAGCGGGCCCTGCTGCCGCCGCCACCCGCACTGCCTGGCGGCGCCGGTGCTGCCGAGGCAGCTCCGGCCGTAGGGCCCCGCGGCGGCGGCCCCCCTGCTGGCGCAGCGACTTCGGTTTAGCAAAGTAGAGTGCCTTATCACACTTATAGATGTAGCTGTCTCAGATGCAAATGTACTTACCGAAGCCGCAACTATACTTACACGGTGTCCCTAACCATACTTACACAACAATTTATAATCGACATATAACCATCTTATAACTTTCATAACTTTCATAACTTCTTCAATTTCCATGCCCCTCCCCTCCCCTCCCCCCCTGTGGTTCGGTAGTGAGCCAGTAGGACGGCGAGAAGAAAGGAGGGGGGAAGGAGGAGGACAGCGATGCATTCGCTAACGCATTCCTGGGTATGAGCGATAAATTCGCTATGTGGTTCTCTGAGCGATCAATTCGCTGTGCAATTATCTGAGCGATCAATTCGCTATAAGCGATGAATTCGCTATGTGGTTCTCTGAGCGATCAATTCGCTGTGCAATTATCTGAGCGATCAATTCGCTATAAGCGATGAATTCGCTATGAGGCCCCTGCCCATGCCGCCCCCACTGCGCCATCATTCGAAGCCGTTTGCATACGCAAGCCCGCGCGTTTTTTTTTGGGTGGGTGGGGCCGCATAGCCATGGCTGCCCAGCGCTTGCGCGACCAAGTCGAGGCCGTCGGGCGATTGCTCGAGGCAGTGCAAGGGCAGCCCTGTTTCGATACGGTGGCGGCCGCGCAGGAAAGGATGCTCGTGCAGGCTTTCGGGAGCGCGAGGCTGCAGCCCACGCAGGTGACAACCCTCTCGTCTCTCGTCGCAGCGCAACCCTGGTCCGAGGTTTCCAAGGGGAGGCTGTTGGAGAAGCTCGGCAGCATCGTGGCTTCTGGCAGCGCCGTGGGTTTGCGAATGGCTCAGCAGGATTATGAGTGCATCTTCGGGTACCTGACAGCGGGCTCGTGGCACCAGTTGGCGCGGACCGACGTGCCCGAGGAAGCGAAGCTCAACGTGCTGGTTGATGTTGCGATTAGCTTAGGTCTTCGCAACCCGACCGAAGGCACGTATCAGATGTTGACGGCGATGTGGCGCATGGCCGTGGACGGAGCCGAGACCGCGAAGAATTTGGCGTGGGCTGCAAAGTACTCGTACCTCCAGCAGACCAAGCGCGTGTTCAAGCGCCAGGCTGCAGCTGAAATTGCGGCCCTCGTCGAGGGGAGGGGGACCTAGGAGAAGGGAGGGTGGGGGAGGAGGAGGAGGAGGGGGAGGAGGAGGAGGAGGCAGTTTCCCCTGGCCGCAATTTCACCCACGAAGGTTTCGAGGCTTCCTGCGCCCCCCGTTCGGCTGACCGAGCTGCCTACGTCCCCCTCGACGTTCTGCGAGGACCACCCTG